AGCTACCTTTGTTTGACATCTTCTCCATAAAAATGGTAGCTGCTTGTTTAAACAGTTTAGGCCTTTCTGTCTTGCCTAACTGATTAACATGCCATGGTTATGCTAACAGTTAGAAAGCAGACAGTGTGTTCTGCTGTGTGGCTCAGTGTGTAAACTGAATGTGCTGAAGATGTCATTCTGACGCCTCTACGCTCTTCACCTTCCGTGTCTAACAACCAGCAAGTAAAAGCCGCCTGTCACCAAATCTTACAAAAAAAAATTAAATAAAGATAACTGTAACTTCTATTTGTGGAGTTGTTTAAGATGAATTAGGTATAAAATATAATTTACTAGAAAGGAAGACTCTAAGGAGAGGTGTCCATTTCACAGTTGGATATTTTTTTTTCTTTTATCATATTTGTATTAATAATGTAGAATCAGAATCATATACTACAGGAAAGCACAGGATAGGTAATGAAGGACAATTACTCTGACATTTTTCAGAGATCTATAGGATTTTTTATCATTAATTTTTAATATAACCTTTGTATAATTAATGATATGAAGGTCATCAATACTGTTGAAGCTCGAACTGCACAGCCATGTATGAACACACTTCAGACCAGTTGTTCTTTAGAATGAACAGTTAACCATCATGGAGTCAGAGATGGTGCAGGCTGCGCATAGAAAGCAAAGATTTGAACCAGTAATATCATTTCTCAGTGAGGCAGAAATACTAACCGGGTCGTTCTGCAGGAGTTAATTAAAATTTTAATAATGTTATTTAGATAAAATTAATTAAATCAAGGCTAACTTCGACGCCCATTCAATAACAGATGCATCAGAAATATGTATTTCTCCTTTCACTAATGGTTGTATGGGTTTAGAGTTATATGTTGTACCAAAATGTGTTCCTTCTACCTTTTTTTTTTTTTTTTTTTCAGAAATTCATAGTATCCAGACCTCTTAGGAATTTACAGCCTGTGCCTGAGCCTATTTCTCTGTAACCGACCGGGTCATGCAGCAGTTAGGCAGCATTCACTGGGATTAATGCAGCAGCTCTGATTTCTGCAAGACGGAGTTTTGAAATGAGTTACCAGACCACAAACTAATGCACTGTTTCTAAAAGTGATTGTGTTGTACTTCCTGGTGATGAATTCTGATCTTTTACAACCACAGACTTCAGGGAAGTTTTATTGGGGTGTTACATGATGTGCCAGTATAAAATCATGGATCATTGTGAACTCAAAGGGAAATTGTTCATGGTTGTCTCATTTTATTATAAATAAAATCTGAAAAATGAGGCCAGCTTTGGTCTGCAGTCTTGGAGATACAACACTTTGCAGTGACTGCATCTTTTGCTGTAGTCACTGCTGCAAACTTTTTAGTGAATGTGGGTTTTGCAGTGACATTCACATCTAGTGACTAAAACTTTGGCTGTTCTTGCATCCAACATTTTCAGTACTGCCACCTCCATGTGTTACTTTGCAAGAAGGTCAGTCAAGGTTGACGTCTACTTGTAGTTTGCCACCACACATAACATTTACAGTCAAAAAAGTTTGATTTTGATCTTAACAGACAAGAGCACCTTCTTCCACCTGTGTCTTTCCTGCAGGATTTTAGGCAAAATTTTAAAACAGGTTGCTTATGGCTTTATTCTTGAGCTGCTTCTCTTACTAATGATTTACTTGCCACAACTTTGCAGTTGTGGCAAACTCTTCATAGTCAGATGATGAACAGAGCTCAGTGAGATCTTCAAAGTTTGAGGTATTGTTTTTTAACCTATCCCTGTACTGATGTTGCATTGACACCTGTTTGGTCCTATTTAACCGAACTCTACTTCATTTACTTAGAAAGTCTGGTTTGTTTGGGTAGAATTATAAATGTGCAACTGAACTCTGATGTAGACCAAAAAGTGAATTTTGGTGCGGTTTGAATACATATGTGACTGGAGAGCGCTCCAACAGTAAGAAACAAACTACCCCACAGGGCATTTTGGGTAAATATAACCAAAACAAATGCACGAGTCTAGAGCTAGAGGGAAAAACCGCTTGTGGTCTTTTACCAACAACAATCAAGAAATCCTACAACCACTGAAATCTGACACCACTCCATTTTTTGTAATAGGAAGTTGTACTCATGTTTTCATGTCATTTCCTTCAGTGGTTCTTGGTGCAGCGCCACTACAGGTGAGGGGGTGAACAGGTCTTTTCAAAGGGTTTGGGTGCAGTGTGAAAGTGAACCTCATCAGCTGGAAATGTAACAAATGATTCAACTAAGGGCCCCAATTGACCAGAGTCTGTTGGACTTTCTGGTGTGAAAACACCATATAAGCCTCCATGTCTTTCTCACTGATGTCTCTGCTGGGTTCCTATGTCCTAGTGATGCTGTTTGTTCTCCAATATTCTGTAATAAACTTCTGAGGCCTTTATAGAACAGCTCGGTTTATACTGAGTTTAAATTGCTCCAACTATGTACTAATTAGGATGATCCCAGAAAGCAACAGTGCTTGGTTTTATTTAGTGGTTTTAGAGTGAAAGGGGATGAATAGTAAATAATTCCACACGTTTCAGATGGCCAACAGTAATGAACTGTTTGATGTTGCTCTCTGACCAATTATCCTCTCCAAAAATATATCAAAGTTTTTGGTAAAGTGATTAAATTTGTAAAAGTTCAAGGTGTACAAAACTTTTCTCATAATTTGCAACTCATCGTTCAGGGGCCGCTTTAGACTTTAATCTGAGGATGATTCATCTTAATGTTACACACTGTTTTAAACAGCAGAATCACAGTGTTTTATGGCTGTGTGGATATAAAAAGGTACTATAAAAAAGATGAGGATAACACATTGGGAATTTTTTTACAGGTTGTCCTGTAGGCACTACCGAATGTAGCGCTTCAGGATGTAATTTAGATAATGATATTTACACACATAAATTGGCTCAAAAAGATAATTTAATGACCACATAAGAGATCATGATCTAATTACTGGCTTGAATCCCAATAAGATGTTTCATATATATCTAACAAATCTGTATCTGAATCAATGTCAAGGACATTTTAAACTAGAGTAAAGTCAGGGAGAACAAAAAGAAGCAACAATTAAAGTTCCTACAGTAATTTATCATACAGGTTTATTAAAGCTAAAAGGTAAAGGGAAGATGGAATAGATGGAGATCTCTGCTTGTGAATCTAACACTACAGCAGTTATTAAGTGTTCGCCCAATGAAGAAAACAAAAGCTAAAACTGTCCCAACAATCTTCTTACATAGTAAATCCACAGAGATAATGTCAACATGATGTATGATTCTGCCTTTCCTGTTTAAAACAGTAACAAATTGAATCAGAGAGAATGATAACAGAACATAAAACAGTCCAAGACTTACTACTGTCCTCTGTGGAGGAAAAAAGGTGATGATTGTGCATTTTTTCCCCCTGATTAGTCCCTCTTTGATGGGTTGTTAAGCGCAATCAAGAGACCATATTTTTCTTCACCTTTCCAGATTATTAATTTGAGAAGAAATTATAAGAAAATGAAATGTAAGTCATCTCAGAAGAAGCTGATTCCATAACCACAAACAGTTAACTAATCAAAGCTTTTAAATCTGCAGTGACAAGAGGTACTGGTGTATAAATTATATCATGTAAGCTCTACAGAGAATAAACGTAAAATCCTGTGGGAGCACTTCTAACTGAAAACTCTTCCTCCGACGTGGAGAATGTAGCCTGTCACATCAGATTAAATGTGAACGCACCACTAACTCTACCTGTCACAGATACGCAGTAATGCAGACATCTTTTAGCGGTTTGAACAGCGGAGCTACGTTGGAAGTCCATGCCGTGTGATATTTTGGTGCATAGGCTTCACTTTTTTAGCACAAATACAAAATATTACTGTGGAGAAATGCAAAACGCATCTCCCCGCTGACAGCAAAAGATGCAAAAAACCCTGTTTTGTTGCTGGAGTTTGTCTGTTTTGTCAGTTTGAAGTTGTTTGTCATGTGTGTTCCTCCTCTCTTCTATCACAGCCACCAGAAGCCGCCTCAGCTTTGCTTTTATCCTCTGGCTTTTTTTTTTTTTAGAACTGACAGTGTTTCATAAAATGCATTCTCACTGTCAGCTCTCTGTGCTTCAGATCTGTGCAGGGGCTTTATGTTCAAGAAAAAGTATAACCTAGAGGTTTGCATTCCCTGCCACTCGCCCAGTGTATACAGATCCTGATTCAACCAATCTCTTAATCAAAAGTCACAGTTTGGGTGTAATTATCTGATGTGGACACCTGGATATCGAGTGCCTTGCAAAAGTATTTATGCACTTTGAGCTTATTCACTTTTTTTTTTCACATTACAACTGAGGCTGAACAATGCATCACAACATTTCTGCTGTATACAGCTGCAAGCTTTTCAATAAAACTATGTTGTTGGAATAAAAATAAGGATTTCTCCTTAATAAACTTCTGTTGTTTACATTAGCAGTAAACTCTAAGATATTAATAATGAAAACAAGTCATATAATCATTGTAACATGTATTGATATTCTGTATTAGATGTTTTTAGGACTGCAAATTTAATGCAGCCCTAATTACAGCTGCAAAGAGAAGCCATGGTGACTCTGGAGGAGCTGCAGAGGGAAAGAAGTCAGTCAGACTGACACCTAATGGTGGGGACATTGTTTCTGGTGACCCTGACTCCATCAGGCAGCACACTCAGCAGTTCTGGAACAAAGAGGAAGAAAAGCTGCACAATGCAGTGATTAATTCAGCCCCGACGTAGATCTTCGGGGGGTAGAATGGTGAGCCATTATCATATATCTAATGATAAAATTATAGACCCTCGGGGAATTTCGTCAATTTTTTTCAAGCTGAATAGAAATTCAATGCATGACTTGTGGCGTCCTCTGAGAGTCTAATGAGCGCTCACAGCAAATGAAGTGACGGACAATTAGTCTCTGCTTCTGATAACGACATCTCCATAGTTAGGATTGCGCATAAAGGAGCACCTTGGTCTCCGGCCTCAGCCTACCTTGATGAGTTTGCACCTGATCTGCGCGGAGACCATGTGGCTGTTCCGCAGGTTCCCCACGCGGAACATGAGGCACAACTTTCCGTCCCGCTGCGAAATGACGGCGTCCTGGCTGAACATGAGCGTCTCCGCGCGCTTCTTCGGCTGCGACATCTTAATGAACATGCAGCCGATGAGGAAGGCGTCCACGATGGAGCCCAGCAGGGACTGGAAGAGGAAGAGGATGATGCCCTCCGGGCACTTTTCGGTGATGTAGCGGGAGCCGTAGCCGATTGTCGCCTCGGTCTCGATGAAGAAGAGGAACGCGGAGGGAAAGTTGTAGACGTTGGCGACGCACGGCGTGTAGGACGGGTCGTGGCCGGTGCTGCTCAGATCCCCGCGGATGTACGCGATCACCCACCACATAGAAGCCATGACCAGCCACGCCACCGTGTAGGTGAGGATGAAGATGAGCAGGTTCCACCGCCACTTGAGATCCACCAGCGTGGTGAAGAGGTCGGACAGGTACCTGCTGGTCTCCCCGCCAAGGTTACCGTGCTGGACGTTGCAGCGGCCGTTCTTCTCCACGAAGCGCTGCCGCTTCCTCTTCACCGGCGCAGAAAAAGTCATGCTCCCGCTGGTGTTCACCACCTGATAGTCCTCGCCGAATTTCCTCCGTAGAGCCGACATCGTGCCACGCGCCTAACTGAAAACAGCGGGGTTCTCCTGGCGCAGGACTTGGGCTTTTTGCGCAACTTTTCGTCCTCCGTGCACAAAACCAGGCAGCACCATTCAGCGCGCTATTCTCGCATCTTGTGAGGTGGAGATGCGCCTCTCTTCTGTAAATTTAATCGTAAGCGAGCAGCGATTCTGCGCAACGCACGACCCAGGCTCGCTCCTTTTTACGCAGAGAGGTCTCTTCCAAGTGCCAACTTTGTGTTTCTTCTTCCTCTGAGGGAAGGGCTTAGGGCTGAAAACCAAAGCTGTGCGTGGTATTCAAAAACAGTTCCACTCCAATGAGCAAGAGGAAAAATTTAGTGCGCACTTATGGCACAACGGTGTTCTAGTGGCATCCTTTTTGTTATGTGCCTTGATCCATTCAGATCCATTCAGATCAAGGAGCATCTGAATGGATGCGCCTTGATCTGTGCATTTATTTATTTTTCTTTTATTATATCCAGCAGATAAGTTCAAGCTACTGCACAACTAAGAAATTACAGCTTACTGTCGCCAGCTGCTTATTTACGGCTGTTTAGTACCCCCTAGTGTTGGTGCAGTAGAAGTAAACCTGAGGCAATTATTGCTTCAAAAAAATGACAAAGCTGCTCTTGAAAAGTTTAAAATATTTATTATCAGATAAATAAACTAGTTTACTGTGACGGTATTTTTTAAAATAAAATTTGGAATTAAAATGATATAATGGCTTTGTTTTGTTTTTTTACTCAGTGTTAGTGTTTTTTGTTGTTTTTGCATCACACTTCTGAGAAATCGTCAAAGACAAGGATAAGTAGTTTTGCTGCATTTCTGTATTGTTTTCGATTGTTTCATATCCAACACTTATATGAAACATTATTAATCTACAAGAAAAGAAAAAAACAAGAAAATGAACCAGGAGAAATATTAAACCCTCCCTCTACAACAAGATACACTTATATTTTGCTTGGTACAGCTATTACTTTTTTCAAACATTTTAAAAGTGATTGAATGTATTTAGCAAGCTACAAAAATGAAATTATACTTTCAGACATTTAGATGTACTGCATGAATGAAGAAGCCATTTCTGAAATTCCACACCCACTGAACTCAAGCTAGCCTTGTTTGCATAATGCAATTGAATGTAATGTAATAACATAACTTTGTCATTATGGTTTTACACATGACTTTTTACAAGTCAGGAATATCTGATGGAAAATTAAGTCCACCCTGCACAGGTTATCGGCCTATAGGAACACAGCCAAGGGGCAATTTTTTCTCAGTATGATTGTTCAAGTATAAACAATGTGAATGATGAATCAGTGAAACTCGAGACAGCATATAAGAGGGGTTTTCACATTTTCTCACTAAACTCTTTTAAAGGAAATAATTCATAAACTAAGAAACCTTGGATTTGACTCCATTACAGGATGCCACAAAACAATCAAAATTCCAGCATCCATCCTAAGTATGGGGAAAATAAAGTTACTTGCACATAAAGTACATTGATTTATCTTATAGACTATAAAGAAATACATGTGCATTCCCTGACAAAAGATCACTCATGCAGGATGCTGTCCATAGTATGCAAATATTATTTTTAAACCAAGTCAAAGAATTACGGAAACACTAAATACGGAGGGAAAGAATGGTAAAAATTTCCTTCAATTTAAAAGTTGTTAGTTCTCAAGTTTTGAGTGGAGCTTCTTGCAGTGCGAAAGGGAAGAGGAAGGTCAAGACTGGAAAAAGTGGCATGTTACTGTTATCTGTTTTTAAGAAACAAGTTGGACAAAGTGACAGTGGTGCAAAAGCTTAATCAGTTTAATAAATCAGACATGCACCTGCAGGTTTCGTCTAATATTTGCATTCTTCTAAATTATTTATTTGACACAATTAAATGTATGTTCACAAAATTGCAACCTAAATGCAAACAATAAGGTGAAGAGAAAAAAACGCAAGGATAATAAATGAATAACAAATAGGGAAAGTTAGTTGGGAAGCAGTGGAAGTGGAAGGAAGACATGCCAAAGAGTTATAGAGTTTTATTTTACAGGGCAGACCAGGAAAATAAAATATTACAAAATCTATCTTCAAAAGACAAACACAATGTTGTAGAATGACCGATCATTTGAAATCTTTATCTTAATACATTGGAGTTACTACATTCTTGAAACTGTTCCACTTTATCAAACAGTATCTGCCATTTTACCAAACGTTTTTTTTTTTTTTTTTACAATAAACCACTGAGCCATGCTTTCATAATTTTAATACATTTTGTTTTTTTCTTAGAAACCGAGTTAACTCCTTTTGAGTTAATTTGAGAACTTGATGACAAAACTGAGCTGATTAGTTACAAAAATTGATGCAGTTTATCTGATTTCACATTACCAAACTGAAATAGTCTTAAAAATAAGACACTTTTTTTCTCTGTGTTAAACTGTTCCGTGAACACCTCAGACCTCCACAGCATTCGCCTGTCTCCTCTCACGACCCGTCCTCTGCACCCATAATTCCCCGCTCCGGGACAAGATGGAAGAAAGCAGCGACCGCCGGAGAACAATGTTTTGGCAATAAAAAACCCTCAGCGGCGAATACGGAGAGAATATAGGCACGTTTGAAACCAGCTGCGGTCATGTGTAGGTGAGTGGGAGGCTAAACTGAATTTTGTTTGTGTCGAGCGTGGCGCCTTTGTCGAGATTTAGGCGAACAATTGCATGGCTAAGCGCAAACAGGAGATGCACGGAGTCGCAGCATCATTGTTTCTGTTGCATGGGCCCTAATGCGGCTTTCAGACGGGGCAGCTAAGGAGCTAACCTGCTAGCTCGTGGCGGCTTGATTGTTATAAACACAACTCCCCCTTGCCGAAGTGAGTAGTATTATTTCGCTCGGTGTTTTAGAGCTCAAAGCGACTCGGAGCACGATCGGTAATGAATATTTCGCTGAGCAGCGGGGCTTGGTTGGATTTATCCGCTGGTAATTACAGCTAAAGTTAGCTATCAATAAATAGAGCGCCAGGGCTGCTCGCAGCCAGACAGATTTGATTTCACGGGCGTCATCAAAGCTGGGGAATTGGAGAATGAGCAATACGTGCCGCAGACATGACTTCAAAGCAAACGTGCTATTTCACCCATTTTTTAAAAAAAATATAAGCCACTTTTTTCCCCGGTTTGTTCAGCTAATCTCTGACTTGTATACTATTGTTTTCTCAATGGGTTAATAAACGTGTGAATCGCATTAAATTACGAGTCCTATTTTAGCTTTAGCTAGCTTAATAGCAACTCCAGGTAACATGCTAAAACATTACAATGGTGATTTTAAATTGGTTTTATAGACTACATTTAGACATATATGTGTTGTATTTATTTTTAAAGTTAGCCCTGGTTCATTCGAGCGATATAAATTGGTTTTGGGGGCGACTGGATTAGGTTGTTTTGGTTGAGGACGTAGAGATGCTTTGATTGTCTCATTGTAGCACGCTAACTATGCTAACTAGCTGCTAACTATTATGCATCACAAAAGCTCATCCGTTTTCTGTTCAGTGCGGCGTCGCGTAGCCAAATGGTCAGCAGGTCTAGACTAAACAATAAATTCTTACGTCGACTTTTCCTCTCTACGTGTTTACTTACACGTCTCACTCAATGCGAGCGGAATGCGCCTGTCTAATATAACCCCGAAATGTATCCCCAGATTTGACCTAAATATTGTTTTGTTTTAGGGAAAGTGGGCTGAAGCGATTAAACTGCGAGCGTTATCTAGTCAGCCTCTTGAGCTTTTGCATTTATATTTTATTTTCAGTTATAAGTGACTTGTTTTTGCTTCTTTCAAAGTGCAAAAATCAAAAGAGATGCGTGTTTAAAAGCCGTATCAATACCAATCATATTTTGGCTACGGTCCAAATCACATGCGCTGCTGAATTTGAAACAATACGAGATGGATTAAACGACTCGGATGTTTTATCTTGCTCTTTGCCATTTTAATTAAGAGACGTTATTTTAAAGATACTGTTTAATAATAAATACATATGTATTTATTCTGTGTGCAAAGCTTGACATTTTATACTGTCACATAATGTAGATCGATAGTGCCACTTCCATATGTATGGTTATGCTAGATCTTATTTCATAGCATTTACGTTCTATGTATTTAAAAAACAAACATACATTAGTAAATATTTTTGAGGTTTCGCGTTTATTCCATTGTGATGATCAGGCCTGGGTATCTACTATTTACACAATGAAGGTCATGCAACCTATCGGCAGGTTTCAGCTTTATTTTTATTTTCATCAGTGTTTTAAATGAAGAGCTGCACAATAAATTAAACCGACATCACAGTATCAAATTGTGTGATTATCACTGTAGCAAAGGGTTACTTGTTAGGCAACCATATTTAATTTCATTTATGATGTCCTTGCCAATAATATCCCTGGCCAGTTAAATTCACTGCTCTGGAAGTCTATGCCAGAAGAAGGTTCAGGTCTATATTGGTTACACTGCAATAATACACAGTCATAACAACATGTTTGTCCTTATATTATGTTGCCTGAGATGTCTTATTTAGAGATCTGTAATTTTCAATCTATGGTTTTTGTAGCTCTTTAACCCTCCAATAAAACATTTGTCTTTAATAACTACAATTAACATTTCATCTACCTTACCTCCCGTGAGTGGCTATTATTAAAAAGAGCATGAGACACTACATTTTAAAGAGAAAACTGGACATTTTAGGCTACATTAACCTCTTATTAGCAGTTAGCATGAGCAGCTTTACCAAAACAGTAGTCTGTGTGTAGCCCCTAGAGAACCATGCCTTAACTTTGCTCTATTCTATTCAGACTTATTATTTTCTTAAAGTCTTGATCTCTCTTGCAAACAGGAACTGACCACAGGGTGTTGGGGGGGGGTGGCAAAGAAACACACACACAAAAAAAAAAAAGACTTAATTTTTAAAAAGCTTTTGGCATCTCTGCTTGATAAAATATCAGATTTTTAGTATCCTGCTGACTGGTTGGTTAAGTTGCTAATCAAGGGCTAATCAAGAGCTAATCAAGCTGAAAATCATCTGATTTAAATCACTAGCTGGCGTCGTGGTGCGTCTCTAATTGTGACTTTGCTCCAGTCATGATCGGGTGTGTTTCAGTGGTTTAAGCAAAAGAGATTGCAGTTGAGATTAGGAGTTAAAAATATCTGAGATTTGCCAATAGGTCACTTTCTTGACATTGTTTTTTTTTTTTGTCACAAAAGTGATCTGCCTGTTTTGACTTATTCTCATTTTTTTCACAAAACAGAGGACTTTACTTTTTACGTACTTCCTTTAAATAACCGAAATGCTTACACTTTGAGGTGCTAAGAGCTCAGCTAATCAAAATTCAGTTTTGTTCTCTATACTTCTCATATCTGTTTTTATTAAGTCTTTTTTTTTTTTTTTTGTCTCTTCTTTTCCAGAATGGTCTCCCCCTGCATTCCTCACTAGATTAATTACCCTCCTTCTCCCCCCTGGCACAAAGTAAATCAACACCATGAGTATTATTCAAGACAAGTTAGGCAATGAGTTTCTGCGCAATGGAGGCATGGACCCCAATTTCGCTCCAGGTATGCTTATGTTCAGCCACTTGCCGCCGGTCACCAGCTTCACGCGGCTGGCATCGCAGTCGGTCATCGGTGAGCTTCCCCAAGAGATGATCCT